CCATCCAAGCCTTGACATCTTCAAGGCAGTTTAAAACGATTGGATGGGGCCTGGATTATTAGGTGCTAAAGGCAGGTAAATTTGGAAGTCGTCAGCAGTGAAGGGATATCTCATGTTTTCTAAGAATAGAGCCCAAAGGGAGCAAGTACAAAAAAACAGAAGAGGACCAAGCATTGACCCTGAGGAACCCCACAAGAAAGGGGGCTGAGGTGGACAAAACATTTTTAATATTAACACTGAACGTTCTGTCACTCAAATTGGAACAAAGTCAATCCAGTGCTGCACCTTTAAGCACAAGAATCACAGAGCTTCCAGAATCGTTTGCTATAAGGATGTCATTAAAAACCCGTAAAAGTGCTGTTTCAGTGGAATGTAAATGTTTAAAACCAGACTGAAAAACCTCCATAATGTCATTGGTGTCCAAAAATGCATTGAATTGGGTAAAAACTATTTTTTCCAATAACGCTGAAAGGAATGGGAGTTTCGAGATCAGTCTAAAATTTGAGCGGGGAATAAACATGGATGGGTCATATGCAGGAAGTACTATTGCTGACCTGATACACTCAACCTTGTTTACAAAGAAAGAAAGGAACTGATTACATATGTCAGCAGAGGCTTTCAGGGTGGTAGCTTGAGGCACATTTAGAATAGAGCTGATGAGGGATTATGACAATTTCACACAATGATTTGAGAAAAATATTAGTTTTTCTCATTTTTCACTGTATTCTGATAAAATTTCCAACAGTAAGCTGTTGCAGTTTATTTGCTCGGTTGCTCAGTGTCATGTTATATTGACTAAAACTTGTACATTTTGGTCATTCAAGTTTCAGAAAGCATGATTTAGTGTTAGTTCACTGGTTAAAGATGTGTCGAACCAAAGTCTTCAGCCAGGGTGCAGCTCATAAAAAAAAAAACCACCTGCATGACAGCATGTTGTAACTAGAGATGGCACGATACCACTTTTTTATGTCCGATACCGATACCGATATCATAAATTTGGATATCTGCCGATACCGATATGAATCCGATATAGTGTTTTTTAATCAACAAAACTGTTTTTTAAATATCTTGCTGCATTTTGTATAAGTTCATACTCAAGTTTAAAACAACAACTACACTAAAGCTATTCTGTTATACCTGTATGCAAAAAAAAATATTTCATAGTTCAGCAATACTGATCAATCTAATAAACTTAAACCTGCACCATCCTCCCTATTCTGGTATTTTAAAGAGTACTTAGCGTAAATATTAAGCAACCTAACTAATAGGGTTCCAACTCCCAGCAACAACAAAAATAAATAAATAAAAAATAGGGAACCACCCCTCACGCTCCACCTCATGATGTTTAATCAACGTAATCAACCTTAATTTGATGCAGTGTGAAAAAAAAATGCACAGAAATCAATTATTTTTCAAGAAATATTAAATAGATTCAACATCTTTCTTCAACAAAATTGCAGACTGCACAGATGGTACCTTCCCAAAGGAAAAAGTACTATAGCTTACTAGGGTATATATATTAGACTTAATAGTTACTATATACAGTAATTGACTTCTATTCATTTTACATCAAATTGAAACTTTGGGTGTCAGATAATTATTTATTAAAAGCTAGACATTTTAAATGAGAATAAGAAAGAAAAGTATGTCTTTGTGCCCCCTTTTCCCTGTTAATGCCCTATCGGCCCCCCTGGCTAAACTTTGCTAGATCCGCCCCTGCACAGTTACCAGCGTCAGCTACATAGAAAAAGATCCTTGAGTAGAAAGTAATATTAAATAAATTCTAACAACAGCTGATCAAGCTTAAACGTGCTGCTGTTGTTCAGCCCCTGGTTTCCTCTTTCTGGTGCAAAGTGGGCCAAAAGCAAACAAGAGACACGGACTCGCGACAGAAAAGCCGATCAGCTGATCGTTAAGCAGTTTCATGATTGAAGTAGCAGCAGGAGAGGCAGTCGCTTGTTAAGCTTAATGCAGGAATGCTTTACATTCAGAGATGGACTTACACACTTGCTTTACTTCTCTCGGGATAACTTTGTCGGAGATGAAATGCCGGGTTGCTAGCGAAGCTCCAAATGCTATCCAGACCACCGACAGGTCCCGCATGCCACAGCCTCTCTATCACGTGATGCATACTGCTCCGACGTGCTAACGTTCTGAGGTGAGTTATGGCGTGTTGCAAGTTTTGTGAGGTGCTTTCCTGATATTTAATGGATCGGATTACATTTTTTATTTTTCTCCGATATCCGATCCAGTAATTTAGGTCAGTATCGGACCGATACCGATACGTAATATCGGATCGGTCCATCTCTAGTTGTAACCAACTGTAGTATCAGATTTAACAGACTACGAAATGAAAGTAACAGAAAGCTATTCCTGATGATTAATTTTAAACCCTGCTCATGAACTAACTGCAGGGTGTGACAGATAAATTTGCTGTACTAAGGGATGGCACTGAAACCCACACTGTTTCCATCAGCAGGCAATGGGCGAGCACCTTGCATAGCAGCATTGCTGCCACTGGAGTGAGCACAATTGGAGTGACAGGGTAGTCTCTTCAACTGTGAAAGGTCACTACAATGCCTCTGGGACTGCATTATAGATAGGAGAGCAGCTCTGAGCTTTTTCACACACAAACCATCTGCACATCCAACAGGAAGGGAAAGGGTTTTATTATGTTTTGATTAAGAGTCTCTTTAAAGTTGTTACAGTTAATATATGTTTTTGTAGTGATAGAAAAGTGGACAGCCACACTGTACACTGCTGTTGCGTAATGCGTCTGTGAGTAAACAAGCGAATAAGGCTCATAATAGTGATTTATGAAGGGAAACTGCTCTTGAAGCACACTGGTATATGGAACTTTGCAGGAAATATGGTTTAATCGTGGTGGATTAAACACAAAGGTGAGACAGAATTCATGCTAATGTTATTCAAATATGAAGCATAACTTTGGTCTTCTTTTGCTGCTGGCTGACACTTCCAATTTTGAAATCTGTGAGATCTATCCTTTCATCACAGACAATGTCTGTCTGTGTATATGCTGTGGGGTGAACAAGGGAATCTGATCTTTGTTTACATCTTTTTGTAGAATCTGTTTACCTGCTCTTTCATTCCTTGTTGTTTTAGCTGTATCTGGTGGAAATGTAAATGGTTTAATGAGTATTAAGCTAAGATTCTCATGTTTCTGTAAATACCATACATGTCTATATTTAAATAACAGGTCTGGCGCCTCAGAAAAGTTGAAAAATTGGGCACTTCAGTGTCACATAAAAAAAGAAAGAAAAAAGTTGCAAACCCAACAAACTGTACTACTTACCATTTAGAAATGGAAATGGAAAAGAAATCACTTCAGGTCAGCAGACACATAGCCACAGATGTTCTTTTACATAATGAAAAAAACCTGAAATTTCATGCCAAAGCAAACCCATTGTAGGCTTGGGCACAATATTAGACATATACCATATTTCTCCATCTGCATGCTGATGGAGAAAAGCACTACATAATTTTAAACCTATAAAGACAGGAACCTGAGATACAGACTGAAATACCTTGCCACTTTAGCATCCCCAGCAATCTTAAAGTAAACAAAAAGCGGGCAAGATATTTCAACTTTAATCTCAAGTCATCACTGACAATGGAACAGGGACATCTAGGTGATGCATACCAATGCACACATTACCAATGTTAGGGTTACAAATGAAGTTGATGCATTTGTGAGATGGGGAGGAGTAGCATTGCAGTCTAGTGCTAGTGAGCTAATACTGTAGGTACTATAGGTCGTCATACCCCCCACCCCGCAGCTTGATTTAAATTGCATGGAGGCGGAGGGAACAGAGGTAGAAAGCGAGGCAAATGTGGAACCACAGGACAAAAAAACCCCATGTGAAAAATACAAAGCTACATAGCTGGTCTGTTTTCAGAAGCCTGATGGTGTCAAAACATTCATGTCCCAAGGTTTGAGTTTATGTGGCCATGAGGTTTGCCACTTGGCTTCAGTGTCTGAGATTTCAATCTGGTGGTATAAGTTTTGCAGGGTCATCCACCTTGAGGTTGACCTGGGTGTTGGTGCCATCCATGGTTGAGGATTTCTGCAGGTTGCAATCCTGTTTTGGCCTGCAGAAATCCTCAGAAGTCCCCCACCGGCCCTGGCTCTGAAAGACTTCTGTACCACAGATCGGAGCATGAAGAAATTCCACCTTTCTCTTCCTCCCTCATTTCCCATGTCTGCGCTTGGGTTGGGACTGTGGGTCTCGGGTGCAGCAAAGAGAGGTGCAGGATGCAGGTGAAACCAGTGCCTGCAATGAAGACCCGGTGAAGAGTAGGGACTAATGCGGGGGGGTGACGTTAGGGGTAATGGAAGGGGTGCTACCTGGGGTGGATGATGGCGATGTTGTAAGCCATCTTTAACCTCCTAGGATCTGGTGTCCACATATGTGGACATCACATTTTGCGTTATTTAGACCAAATACTCAATTTTGCTCTACAAGAGCCTGATATCCACTTACAAGGACATTATACTACTAAATTTTAAACGAATATCCTCATATGTGGCTCTAATTTTTCTTAGAAACAAAAAATCAGGTTAAAAAAAAACAACTGGTAATTCTTTGTTTTTACATTCATCAGGTGCCAATATGCCCAAATGTCAAAGAAAAATTAAAAATGCATGCTGTGGAAGAGTTCGGGTCTTGGGAAGTTCCACTTGGCATTCTCAACTTCTTTTTCATGATATCTTTTCTTTGATGCCTCGGTCCAACAGTTTCTTTCACTTTGTCCATAAATTCCAGTTTATTTGATGATTTTTTTTTCTTTTTTCATGTCCTTACCGGCACTGCAATTAGAATTATTACCTGAAGACCAAGAAAAATGCCCAACAGCTTTATTTTCTCAAGTAGAAAATTACAGCTTTTGCTATACTGTCCACTTGATTGTCATATTTTGTTGAACCTTTATTATTTTTTATTTATTTATTTTTCTTTTCATTTTGAGTTATTGCAATCAGAACGGACAGGACCGCGGTCAGTGATAGGAAATAAAGAGAAATAAATAGAGGTTCCAGGTTCTGGAACACCTTACTCAAGGATGTAGACTGAGTTTGTGATATATATCATATTTAAGAGACGTGCCCCCTGGTCACCGGTTTAGCTCAGTGGGTGAACAGTCGATCACATTCCCCACAGTCACTGTTCCTTGTTTGCTCAAAGGCAAACAGTGCTAATGAGGCTGGGACAAGCAATGGTAGCTTATTTTTCAGATTAAGCTACCTGAGCCAATTCTCCAACAGTTCTCCAACATGAGAGGCGCTGCTACCCCATAAATTCACAGTATTGTTGGACTCTTTTTCTCTACATTTTTAAATTCACTACAGAATGCAGTAGTCTTTTAATTTGTTCACTCGGGAACTTCAACTTCTCCGTCAAAGTCAAAGGTGTCGGATGGCACCATAGATCTGTAGCCTGATGTTTGAGAGAAGTTGAGAGTCAGCTGGTTCTCCACATTTGTGCCGATATGAAGATTCGATAACCAACTCAGAACTTTCTCAAAGTTGCCGGTTGATTGTTTGCGCTCTAAGAAAGACTCAGGAATAGAAGGTGCTGGACTGCTTCCTTTAACTGAAAACAAAACACACATTTAGACTTATTTTGTGCTTGATAATACTTTAAATGCTATGATTGATGATATAATTGGACTTACAATCAGGGATCAAAAATTCCTTGCTGTTTCCAAGAAAATGTGATAATTTCTCTATATCTTCATCCAGCTTTTTAATTTTTTGGCTGATTTTTGTATCTAGTTTTTCCTCCTTGCCATCTCTCTTCCCCTGACCAGTAGACCTGGTTGCGAGTTTCACCCTGTCACCAACTAATAATAATCATCAAAACATGTTAATAAAAAAAAAATCATCATTTACAAAATAGGATGAATAGAAACATATTTATTATCTTCCTCAAAATACTCACCCAGTGACTTGGATTTTGTGCCCGTCGCACCTCCCCTAATGTCATTTTGCAGCTCATGGAGTGTTTCCTTGAACTCTTTCATTAGCTCCAGCTCTCTCCTCCCGTACTCCCGCACTAGTCTTTGCTTCAGCACATGTTTCAGCTGCTTCCTCTTGAACATCTCTTCGAATCTCAGGTGCATTTCATTCATGTTTGGACAGAAGAGCTTGCCACTGTTTCCTGCTACTATTTCCTCTATCTTCTCAAACAGCTCTGTCACCTGATTCATATCCATTTTTTTCATATTGTTAATGGCATGGTACCTGTTCTCACACTTCTCAATCAACCAGCGCAGGGCACTATGCTCCCTTTCAATGTGCTCCTCCAAAGATTTATCTGCTAGTTTGTCTCCATATGTGAACAGAACCATTGCGTGTTTCCATACAGTGGCATGAAAAAGGTTCATGTGATCCTCCAGAGTGACTCGTTGAGAATCTCTGAATGTCAGGTCCAAAGGAATGACCAGCAGAATAACATGAACTCCTGCTGGGCTCAGTGAAAAACCTCGGGCAATTTCTTTGTCTATCTCATCTGTGCAGCATGAGGAGTCCTGCCACCAGCCCGGGGTGTCAATCACTGTGACTCGTCGGCCCGAAACCTCCCCATCTTGCATTTGACATTGTTCATTCTGACTAGATGCAAAGACTTCTTTATGCAGGAGAGTATTTCCTGTTGCACTCTTTCCAACAGTCTTCTGACCAAGCAGTATTATTCTCAGTTCCTGTAGCTTATTACTGGAAACTGAGAAGAAAACAGCTGTCAGAGCAAAGTGAAATGGGAAAATGTCATGTTGCATATGATCTGAGTGAGAATGCTCTGTCACTGGTAAGATTGTACATTTATATTTTCTTTTTTAAAAAGTTTTATACAGCTCCACATTCTCTTTGGGAATAGATTTCTGCATTTGATAAGATGTAATTACCTGGACATTGACAAGTTATTTGACATGTGACAGACACTATACTGCTATCATTACCGAATAACCAGAAACATTGTATCTATTACAGTCACTGATATCCTCTAGCATTTTCAACAAATTTTGAAGTATATTTCTGTATTTTGTCCATCTCTGCTATCTATTTAATATGAGTGTGTGGAAACAGCTCTGACATTGCGGCACGTTTTTACTTGTGACACTGATGCTATGTGATAGTGAAGCATACCTCCAAGGGATTCTCGTGTGGCCTTGACTTGACTTTGCCTCAGCATTGCTCCTTCTTTCACCTTCCTTCTTCTCTCTTCGAGGGTCTGAAATATCTGCTGGTCTGGAACAAAGTAGCTCCACCCATTTGCTGCCACAGTCTCAGTGATTTTCTCCAGCAGCTCTGAGATTTGTGTACCATCACTTGCATTCTTATTATCAACTACATGATATCTATTTCCACATTGTTCAACTAGAGACTGTAGGGCCTCCCCCTCTCCTTCGATGTACTGCTCTATGCTGTTTGTTCCCAGCCAGTCTCCTCTGGTAAAAACTATAATAGTGTGTCTCCACACTCCATCACCAAGAAGCTCCACATGTGATGTCACTGCATCTAAGTGTTTGGCATTAAATGATGCATCTGCATCTATCACCAGGAGGAACACATGGGGCCCGGGAGGGCACAAAAACATGCTGCGCATCAGTTCATCTTTGATCGCTTCAGGAGTGTCGAACACAGGGAAGCCTTTCCACCAGCCTGGTGTGTCAACAAGAATGATTTCAGTTTTAGCCACAAAACCCCGGCAGGCAACAGACTTTGGCGTTCTTTTTCCATCTTCCTGGTCTTTGTACCCCAAGATAGTGTTCCCTACAGAGGTTTTCCCAACATTACGGCTTCCCAGAAGAATCATCTGGAGTTTTGGGATATGTTTCATCTCTTCTGTTATCGGACAAAACAACGATTGGTTAGGCTTGGAGCTTACAGCAGCTTATACTGAGATAAAATTATCAAGGCATATGCAGGCCAGTAAAATCACTGAGTCGCAACGGGCAATGGAAGTATGTGGTAATAGAATTCATTAACATATTCAACACATTAAAATACTGGACTTTAAAAACTGGAAATGTTTGTTATTGTAATGTTGTTTTAACACAGAATTTTATGCGATTTTCTGAGGTATAATTTATTCTTTTTTTTTTCTAGATGCATGTATTTGTTTGTAAAATGTCCCTTTATTCAGTCTTTCTTTGCATTAAATGTCACTTTTTTCCAGGTTCTCCCTGCACATAATGCTGAAATAAATAGTTTGACATTTTCAGATGCTTAAGTTAGACTGGCATTGCTTTCACGTCTGTATGCTTAACATGCAGTTTTAACAACCTGATTTTGTTTGACTTTTGCAAAATCCACCTAACGTACTACTATATGAACCTTGTTTAATCCAGTCTTTATTTTAATGCACACATCTATCCAGTTGTATTAACAAATACTTTTACAGGACGTTGTGTGGTGGATTATTTCCTGGATGGGCACAGTTATGATTCTGGGAAGTTGTATGTCCCATAAAGTGGCAAATTAGTCCTTTCATCTTGATGTTTGCATTGATTGAATAAATATGGTACCATGATTTGCTGCCATTATGTCATAATATATAATACAGGGGATGTGTTTGAGTGCTCCTTCTGTCACACTCACCTGGAATGAGTGTTTTCATGTGTTGTCTTTGGTCCTCGGCCTTCTTCCTTCTCTCTTCTGCTCTCTCAGCCACCTCCTTTTGCTTCTCTTTGATGACTTGGAAAATGGGCTCTTCTACCTTGTAGTAACTGCCACCATTGTACCACACCATCTCTTCGATCTTTTGCAGCAACTTTGTGACCTGAGATAAGTTATTCTTGTCCTTGTTATTAAACACATGGTACCTATTCAAACACTTTTCTATTAACCACTTGAGTGCCTGTCCTTCACTTTCAATGTGTTCTTCTATTGTCTTTTCCCCGAGGTAATCCCCGCAGGTGAACAGCACCATCGTGTACCGCCAAACCCGTTCACCTAAGAGCTTCATGTGTTCCTCCACAGTCGTCTTCTGCTCCACAGAGAAAGCCGAGTCTATTGGAATAACGAGGAGAAAAGCATTTGGTCCAGGCGGACACTTGGATGCATTGAGTTTAAACCTTTGCTTGTCCCCCTCTGGGATCTCAGCAAGGGAGAGGGAGCTGCTCCAACCCGGAGCATCAATCACAGTGAGCTTCCTGCCGTCCACCAATCCATGTCTCACTTCAGACTGAGCTGTTCTTGTTCGGCCACACTCAAATCTCTCCTTTCTCAGAATGGTGTTACCAGATGAACTCTTGCCAGCCCATCTACTCCCTATGAGTATGAGCCTGATCTCAGTCTCCTCTGAAAAACAAAGAAAATATTGAAACTTTTTTGTTGCAGATAAAAAGAAATAATATTGTGTTCTTATTAGGATTGTGAAACAACTTATTTGGATTAATGATAATGCAGCTTGTTGTGACCAGATTGGCATAGAAGCTTTAAAATAGAAGGCGGGCTTATCTCCTCAAAATGAGGAGCAGAATAGAATCCTTCAGCGTGACATTGTTATCACCACAGTTGTCTCCACTGCTTTAGATGATTGACACAAGAGGAACGTTCTAAGAAATTTGTGCATGGGAGAGTTATTTCTGACCCTTTCATTTCTGTCTGAGGAATAACAAGTCAAAACTAAAATAGTGAAACATTTTTAGAATGACCCTGAACCAAAATAAATAAGTGATCAGAAGCAACAAGAGGAAAAAGAGAAAATATTAATTCAGATAAGAATGCCTCAGTCCCACTTATTGACAAAAAATTCAGTTGAAACAGCTGAAAAGCGTAGGCTATATGATGCAATGCAGTGCAACACACAAATGATCTTTTCTGGCATCAAATATATAAGCTCAGACGATACTATAGAAGGCAATGAAGAAAACTGCAGTGTCAAAACACGATTAAGAAGTTAACCAAAAGCAGAATTTTGCAGGGCTGTTTTTCTTTGGAAAGTTTTTCTCTCAACTGTATTGACATATACAAAGCTTCTTGGGCGGAGCTCTCATAAGGAGGAATGTTTGTCAAAAGGTTGCTGGGAACTCAAAATGTTCTTTCCTTCCGGGCAAAAAAGGAAATTCTGGCATAACTGGTTTAGTGGCATGTCTCCTGTCTAAAAGCAAATGCCCAGACTGGTGTTTTTGGTTTTGGTTCTGTTTTTGTTAGCTAGTGTCTAACAGGGCTCTCAAACCTACAACTACATGCTCCAATTGCAAACACATGAATTTTGTCTATGACCTCTAGTTATTGAATCCAAATCCAAACAAATACATTTAATAACAATTTAGGAATGTGTTTAACAGATTTCTTTCTTTCACATCATTGCTTCTGAGTAACTGGTATTCACAATCTGCAGTGAAAAATTAGCAAACAACAAAAAAGTGGATTGTGGATAGACTTTATAAGTTGTTTCACCTTGTGATAAGCCCCAAGTACATTTCACAGCTCCATGCTGATTCATTTTTATTCAAATTGCTTCAAAAAAGTAAACAATATTTCTCAATTAACTTACCAAGATTGTCTTCCATTTTTCCTACTTCTGTTTTAAAAGTGCCTTTGAATGGTCCCAAGCTCTTCACTGAGGTCGAGTGGATAAAGTCTGTATTCAGGCATATTTTAGTACGAGTTCTTGCAGCCTTGACTGCATAAAGTGTGACTGAGAGGGCAAAGTGTTTGTATCTAAATCATCACAGCAGTGCAGAAATCCAGACTAACTGGTTTCAGACAGGTAGTGAGCGGTAAATGTTATGTCAGTTTAGCCACAGTAAAGCTACATAACTACACTACATCATTCAATAGAAATCATTACATTTGCTTTTTTTTTAAAAAAGTAAAACATCTTACTATAGCTTATGGAAATAATGAGTGTAGTGGGTGTTTTAGCACCAAAGGCCATAAATAAAAAATATATTGATTTTTAATTGAAGAAATTAATTTAATCAAATCCAAAGATAAAATGTTTGTCTACATATACAGTATATACATGTATTTCCAGTGATGTACTTTCAAATTACAAAACCATTACATATTCAAGGATGAGTCATCCAATGTGCCGTGCTCCTGTAATTATCCTGACAGACACATAATGATGTTGGGTCTCCACAAAAAAGAGCATCATTCAAATCCAGAGCATAAATGAGCCTCTAGGGGATTGTGAAATTATAAACCTGACTTTCACTAAGTCAGCTGAAATGGAATAGACTATTATTTGTATGCAGCATAGGCTAAAGAGTGGCCATGATAACTTCATGGTTTCCATTTGTAGTTGTTATCCGTCTTTAAATCATTAAAGTCAGGCATAAGACAATCAAAAATACACGAGTTGTAGAAAACAAAAGGTAATTTGGAATAGAATACAACAAAGAAAATGACACCATCTAAAAGCATTTTAAAGTGAGAGACCTGTAAAATTTAAATTACTGAAATAATAATTCAATACCATATGGTGGACTTATACGACAGATGCTTTTGGATCTTTATCACTCTCTATTAATATTTATTTGGCACTAAGGAAGTTCTGTTTGTTTGACTGACTGGCAATAGCTAAACAACTGTTCTTACATCATGCTAGCGGCATTATGTTGACTGAACTACCACAGGGGATCACCTTATGCTGGAGCTTACAGAAAATACTAAACTTGGTGTAAACTCTAAGTGCCAGGGTATATCTGCTTATCCAACAGATTGGACATCTCCATCCACGACAGGTCCCACTGCACTTCCGTCACGTCCTGCTTAGTTGCAGGAACCGGCACTGCTGGCACGTCTTCTTTGGAAAATGGCCAACGTTTCCAAGTACCCAACATCTGGTATCTTAAAAAAATAAACAAATGATAATACCTGAAGCATTTGACAGCTTGTTTGATTTTTGAGTCATGCTAAGACATCATCTGTCTAACAACATATATACAACTCCTGGGTACTGTAACTTACCTGTAGCGATAAAAAAGCCAGACCGATAGAGGAATAAGAAACAGAAATACAAGTCCAACAGACAGGATAATCCATTTCCAGTAGCCTGTTGACAAGAACAAATAGTATTTGTTTCAGTGCAAAAAGGCTCAACCAGGTTGTACCTGAAAATACATTACTGTTCCACATCATTTAGTCTCATTTCTTTTCTATTTTTTAAGTCTGATTTCTAATTAACAGCTGAAGAAACCTGCTAATGGGGTGCAAAGTAATGTGATTCACAGGGTGCTTTTTTTCTTTGCTTGCATACCTTGAATTACTGTTACATCTACTACAATAATCAGTCAAAAAAAAAAAAAAAGGACAGTTGAATAAGTAGGCAAATTAATACTCGAATTATATTTTTATGAAGTGTTACCAATATAAAAATAGCACTTAACGTTTTGGGTTTTCATTTATGACTTTCTGTGATGCATGTGGAGCACACAACAAAGGTGGGCTCACTTCATTCAGAAATGTGGCTAACCCAATCAATTATGGCAAATAGCACAAACATTACCAGTACTGTTTCTAGCTTATGATTGGGTGAACAGGCTAATGTTGCCCAGTGTTGAGCGAGAAATACAGAGCTCTGAAGCAGACCAACTCTAATCTTAGATATAGGATGAGATGCCAGCATCTGGCCTCAAACTTGCAATTTTTATACTAATAGTTTGTCTAACCTCTGGCTTATGGTTACTTTCTAATGGTTGTTGCTTCTACTAAGTCATCCTGATACAAAAGGCTAAAACTAGGCTGATGGGATATCACTAGCATAGGGATATTACAACAAGTAAATTTTAGATATTTTTGCCAGTGTTATTATCATAATTTGCCTCATGCTGAAAACCTTTTATAAGGTTTTTACTATGAAGGAAATTATGCGCAGCCAGGCTTTCTTTGCAATAGCTGGCTTGAGAAAACTTAAAATCCCAGTCAGGCTTACTGGATATCACAATGGTACTTTTAATCCAGCTTGCATTTCACACAAAATATTCTTCTTCTGCTGCACAAAATGATCCATATGAGTGCTACCTACTCCAGTCATAGACATTATTGGAAGATGACGATGATAAAATGGTGATAAAAATGTATAAAGAACATAAAAAAAAGCAGCAGGAAATTATTAATCTTGTAATTTTGCGCACAGAGCAATAAAACAAACATTTTAAGTTGAATTAATTATTTTAATCCTATTTTAATTTTTAACTTGATGGCTGCAAATTAAAGCTCTGAAACTGTAAACATTTAAAGATTAAAGGTTAGTGTTCCATAGCCTCTAAAGGGAGCTGTCGACAAAGGTTGCTAACTGATCTTAATCTCCCTTCGTAGTACACCTCTCTAATGGCTCATTAGGAAATGACAAAGTTGGCCTGGTATCGTCCCAGGTACTTGTCATTTATTTGTAGTGCTTTGGTTCTGAGGAAATCCCAAAGTTTTATTTGACATTATTAGAAACATTCTTATGACTCTATCTCCTGCTCTGACTAGTCACTCAAATAAAGAGTGTAAAAACTTTCTTTGCTTCTTTGCTAATAAGATCCAACATTTCAGAGCAAACATTACCCATCCTTTCTCTCTTCTCGCCGCTTGCCTTAACCGCCCATGTGTCTTTGAGAGCTTTGCACTGATATCTGTGAATGCTCTCATCAATTTAGTTGATAAAATGAAACCTTCCTGCTGCCCACTTGACATTTTACCAACCCCACTATTAGGTAGTGTGTTCTCAGGATAATTAACATCTCATTTAGCTCTGCCAGTGTCCCTTCCTATTTTAAACAGGCTATTAGAGGCCCTCTTAGAAAGAAAAAAAAGTGACCTTTTCCTCCATCACAATTTTAGACTGTTTTCAAAATTGCCTTTTATTTCCAAATTTTTTTTAGAAAAGATGGTTTCCAGCCAGCTTATGGATGCATAGAGATGCAGGTGAACACTTAGCCCTTGTTCTGTCAGATATCTGTGTTGCCTTTGACACAGTTTATCATGAATCAGTCATGAGTGAGGATCTATGGGTCAGCTCTAGATTTGTTTTCCTCTTATTTGTCTTGAGCTGCTTCTGCTAACATTCTGTCTTCTCTGGCCATTTTATCTTGTGGTGCATCCCAAGGTTTGCTTGTGGGAACTATTTTATTTACCCTGTACATGCTTCCACTAGGACATATCCTGAATGACTCTGAAGATAGCCCATACCATTGTTATGCAGATGATATTCAGTTGTACATATCAAACTCAAACTTATAGCCAAATCAATGTTCTAAAAACTTAATGGAATTGAAAACTGTTCTTATTTGTGCCCCTGATAACTTCGTCCCCAGAGTAATTGAGAATCATGGACCCATTTCAGCTTCACTTCTGCCCACAGTGAGAAATCTGAGGACACTTTTGATCAGGCATTCAGTTTTAAAAGGATCTTGGCTGTCTTGTGCAAACGTATTTTTATCATCATTGCCTGTCTCAGATATATTGTCTCTCAGTGTGAATTGAAAATGATCATTCATCTTTTTATTTCAACATGATTCGATTATTGTGATTCATTATTCCTACTCTGAGCAAATCCTTCCTGGATCGCCTGGAAATGGTCCAAAAGGCTGCTGTGAGGCTGAATCCTCTAAAAGCTCTCATCAGAGTCAAATTCTTCTTCTTTATTGTTCAGTTTACAATTTTGGTGATCACTTTTAGACTTCTTAAAGGTCAGATGCCTCCCTTTATTCATGAACTACTGTTTAATAATTTTATCTTATATTATATTGTACCTGTAAAGCACTTTTGGACTTTTGTTCTTGAAAAAATCTATATAAATAAACTTAATTACTTACTAACTTATTGTGTTTCTATATCAATTTTTTCCTTGTGACTTTGGTGTTTGTGTTATCTCCTTTGTCTTCTTTAACCACTTTTATGACTTTTGGTGACTGCTCTTCCTTGTGTGCATCAAACCCTTAACCTCCTCCTTTGCCTTCCTACTGGTGGCCTGATTGTTCCCACCTGTGTCTTGTTCCCACCTGTGATTGTTCCCACCTTGGAGTCAGCCTTCTGTGTGCATGCAAAGGCTTGGATTTCCCTTTTTTACTTCGCCTGTTCATTCCATGGGTTTTTATTTCTTCTCCCTTCTTATGAAATCACATTTCTACCTTTTGGAGCTTATCTTGGGACTTTTGTTCAGCCAAAAAAGGCTGCATAGGCTGGATGCTTCTGTTACCTAAAAGGCATTTGAACAAAATGTAAAAATATAAACACAAATCATTACGTTGAGATTATACACCTGACCTGGGGTGTCGCTCTTGGGTCTCACAGATAACCAGCTCTCTGTACTCTCCATCTTTAGGGCCGGGGATGCACACTTGTAGGAACCTTCGTCTTTCTTTGTTACGTTCTCAATAGTCATGTTTATCTCATTGTTTGGACTCGAAGGCATCACAGAGACGACTGCTCCGTTTTTGAAGAAGGTTGTGTCGTTGTAGTTTGTTGTTTTGTACTGACAGTACAAAATTACTTTATCCCCCTCAAATACAGGGAAGGCTGGAGTCTTCATGATGATATTGTCATCTGTGGGATAAAGATAGTACACATAAATAACTCCTTACTTTTTTTTGTCACACATAAAACAAAAAATGCTCTCCCTCATACGTCACATTTAAAACCCCACCGTGTTATAATTTGTCTCTGGTGTGTTTTCCCCATTTTGTCCAGAGGCAGCAATACTCACAGCTTGCTGAGATCCTGACTGAGTTGCTGCGACCCTCAGGTCCCTCACACCAGTACAGCCCACTGTTCCCAATGGTAGCATTGAAGACACACGCATCAGTCCTGTTTGTGATAACAGCACACTCTAGTGGTGAACATTGGTCACCTTGGACAGCTTTTCTCCTCTGTGTACAGTCTGGAGAGTAATGCCTCAGCTTCCAGCCTTTGGCGTTCGTCTGAGATGAGGGGCAGCGCATACTGAATCTCTCCCCACTAAAGATGTATCTCGTGCTGGGAGCCAGAATCAGCGAGGGAGGGGTCAGCTCTGGAGTTGAAAGACGCAATAAGATTAGAAGAAGAACCAGAGCACTTTCATACTGTAGCAACTGGCAAATGTTTCCATGTTAAAGTTTTACTCATGAATATCATTATCATAAATGCACTTGCGGGCCTTGTTTGGCTGCAGAATAAGTGGCTCACATGGGAACACAACCGCTATAACTACATATCTCTGGAAATTACATTATAATTATTGCACGATTACATTTCATGCACCGCAGCAATGTGCAGTAATGAAAGAAGAAATCATATTCTGAAGTTCAGCTGCAGCAGGGACACGGGAATCCACAGATGACTGGTACATTTTGTCCTATTGAGGTAATTGACTTTTCTTATGAAACCCAACTTAATTTTCATACCACTTAAAATTTGATACAGGCATTCACGTGTCCCTTATGATCAGTTTGGTGATTCCCTCAGCTTTTCTTATTGGAATCTAAATCATACAAAACGTATTACTTACTGATCTGCCTTAGCTGTCCTTTGTGCAGAGAATACTGAATGAACATGACAGGTAAAGTGGGTTTACTTTGCATTTCCTAATTTTCTGTCATATAAATAATGTAACAGTGGTAGATGCTCATAATAAAGGTTTGAAGAATGGTTTAAAATTGAAATCAGAGTGTGCCCGTATAATCTTTGTGAAGCAGAATCTTAGCCTGCAGACTACCTGAAATGCTAGCAGATCTTTATAATATCATAGAGAGTGGATATCATTAATATGGTCATGTTAGACACACAGCTTGGGCTGAACCAAAATCACACCCACATTCTGGTTTAACATTATGTTTTCAAGGGTCAGCCAATCAGAAGAAAGTTGGCAAAGAGGGAGAGCGTTCTTTAGGAGAAAAGAAGATAAAACAGCATAATTTAGTTGAACTGAAGGGTTGCACTAAGGCCCAGTATATGATAAATAAGGAACTGTAAACAATCCAAAAGATTCTTGAATATAAATATAAGGGGCGTGAAATTAGCATAATGTTTTCCCTTGTAAAAGTTTGTTTTTTAATTAATTTAAATATTTTGAACATTATGATCTTAATCTCGGTTAAACCAGCAAGAAGATTTGGGCTCACAAACAATACACAACACAGCAGATGTTGTAGCTGCTCACCTGACACGATGAGCTCCACCGGCTGGCTGGATGTTTGTCCTGCTTTGCACCTGTAGCTGCCCGCGTCCTCCCTTGTTACAGCGGTGATGAAGTAGCTGTCATTTGAGACCACATGCCTGGGGTTCAGGGTCAGAACAGTTTTTGGTTTGTCCCACTCAAAGCCCCACTGAGCAGTGGAGTTTGACTCAACTGCACACTTCAGCAGCACAGATTCTCCGAGGTAGACTTTTGACCCTGGGGGCCACACGGACACAACAGTCTTTAGAAGACCTGCAGGAGAACGATAACTCCGTTGGCGTCTTTCTTCTGCTTATGACAGACATATTGTACTTATGTGTGATGATAACATCTGCCGTACCTTGCAGCGAATCAGCTTGGAGAACAAATGCAGCCATACCTGAAATACGGACAAAGTGTTTCACAGAAACAGTCGATTTAAAAAAAAAAAAATATATATATATATATTCTACCACAGATTGTTCCTGTCACATTAGTGACATTTTGGGTACAGTATGTTTTCTCTATTCTCTGTCATTCATGAGTAAAATGTATCAGCATGAACACCACAGGCAGCTCAGATGGCTTATTCCCACATGGCTGCATGCCAGAGAGTCAGTCATGGTCCACTGCTGTTTTTTATATTATATAATCAAGACATAAAAATATATATATTTTTAAAGTAAGTGTCTACAAGTAAATTTAAAACATCTAGAAGCAGTAAACCTGTGCCTATAAGGCATAACAATCTTTCGCTCTTCTAAGGAGTTGCTTTGAAGACCATCTGAGCCACATCTCTTTGCTAACACTCACAGTTACGGGACTGCCACACAGTTTGACAGAGAGCAGAGCTTCCTATGCCTTAATGAGCAAACTCTTTAGACAGTTATCATCCCCATGGGAACAGAAGGAATGTACACAGATTTGCTGTATTTTCCTGTTACACGCCCACGCTATACACGCACATATACAACAGTGTCACATAGTGCTACTACGACCATATAGTTTTAAAATATAACTCATGGCTGCCTGGGATGGAATAGCTTGCACAACAATTTGACAGCTCAGTCCAAATCATTTCCATTAGCCCTATTCAGATTCTGGCTGGTGCACATCATTTTAATTTAATACTGTCTGAAAGTTCCTGCTGCAGGCTAACAGCCTAGTAAAATTTATAACCCCGCATACCATACTACTGATATCTGCATCAAATAAGAGTGCTTGGCTTTGGCTCTGTGTCAGCACTACTCTGACAGCAGAGTGCAGATGCCTCTTAAACTGCTGGGACATGGTTTTGTCCACCGGTACCAAGAGTTTTGTCATGACAACGCTCGTTTTTTTGGAATTCTGCCCAGCAGAGGTGTGACAGAAGGTGTGTGACAGTCAATCAAGTGTTATCTGTGATACTCACCCAGCAGCAGGAAGATATGGATGAGGTTCATTTTGTCAAGAATTGAATGTCCAGAATTAATGTACAACTCCCCTCCTGTTCTTTGGAAAAGAAAAAGGAAAAAGCTTTTGAGATTTCCACAGTTAAAATGATGTATATTTCAGAAGTCCCTGTTATTTTACAGAGCCGGTTTTATTTCAGAGGCTATAAGACAGAGACTAATTGGATCTCATAGGAGGGGTTTCACCCAACTCTCACAGCAAACCACAGACAGAGATTATCATCTTGGTGGAGATATTTCCTTCCTCTGTCAACTAGTTAACAGGTGGAGCCTTTAGGCTGACAAAAAGGCGGAGAGGTGAAGATTTAAACCCACAGCACATCCAATTTATTATCAGCAAGGAGCTTAATTTTCCCTTTCTTCTTTTTTATCTTCTGTTGTTGTGGTCTGACCTTACAAACTTGCTGCAGAGGTGAAAGTATTTCTAATTTCTTCCCCTTCTTTGATCTGTGTTAAATCATGGTGTGGCTTTTTTGGGCCTCCTGCCAATGCTAAAATCCTGCATTTTCACATTTTTATTTACTCATTCAGGTTATTTTTTGTTATCTTTTGTTTGCTCTATTTATAGCCTCCCTTTCGGTCTACTGCTTACGGCTGTGGATGCTCATTTTCCCTTTGGTGAACATTTATTTATAGTCCCTGTAATCCAGTCAGTTACAGTGCGATAAAGTTTAGTAAATTGATTGAGGAAATCTCAATCCCCCAGTCTGCAAGTTTATAGTCAGCCCACGGCACAGACCAGAACATTGGTTCGGGATGAAATATCTCAACAAATACGAGATTGTTGTGGATATCCACAGAGCCCACAGGATGAATCATAATAACTTTGGTTTGGTTTGGTTAATGAATTTGGATCCCTAGAGTTTTAGATCGTACCTGTTATGCCATTGCTTATTTTCTGCCATATTCATATTGTTACCGTGGTGCTCATATTAAACACCTTTCATTTTTCAAATAATGAGATCAGTGTATGTGCAAGTAAAACATGTGAGCCAAAAGCTCAGGCTTCAGACTGCTTTGAATGTGCAGTTACTAGCAGTCTTCAACAACAATGATTGTCCCTAACATGCATCTCAGGGACACATCTGGCTATAACCCAGCTACTGTTCAACCCAGACAATCAAAGTGAGGGTGGCCTTAAAGGGAGGATGGCTTGTCTCAGTAAGTGAATGAACTAGGGCGGCTGCACCGAGGCCCAGGCAATGTAAAACACTTTAAACTGCAGCTCATGCACTGTCTAAAGAATAAAAACGTAAATAGACATAAGACTACTGCCACTTGGAGGTTAGTCCTGTGGAACATTTGCAGAGCTATTCCATTCATACTTCCTGAATGGTGATTGACTCTAATAATTTCATGAATTTCATGATTTTCACCTGAAATGCCTCGAGCTCTCAGACCTAGACTCAGCTTGACCCCTTCAGAATAAATTGTGATAATTTCAGAGACCTCAAGATTTCCATATGGAATCACGTTTTTACCATTTACTGACTTTCCCATCAACTGCAACTGTCCAGTTCGGAAACGTAAGTTAACTGAAGAATAGCTCTACCTGGATGAATCTGATAAGCAATGTTCACTGTTTAGAATCGCTGACAAGCTCCACCTACACCCATCCCGTTTCCTGCCTCTTCTGTGGAGTCCCAGGGACAACCAACCGTGACACCCGCAGGGTAAATCTTTTCTTGTTTTTTTAAGTGGCAATCTCTATTTTGGGTGTAACATTTGTTTCTGCTGCTTTGCATCTTCTGATTTCTAACTTGGGCGTGCTCTCACAGGTAGCCTAACCACAGCCTCATTATCCCAGAGTGATCCCCGCCTCCTCCTCCTCAACATCATCACTCCCTCCACCTCCCGTCTCTCCCACCATCCAGCCTCCCGACATCCAAACGGTTTCTTCCAGGAAGCGCGTCGGGCAGTCGGGTGCTCTGCTGGAATGCCTGGGAGAGAGAGCATTCTTTCTGTCCATTTCTAAGAGAGAGAGGGAGAGGGAGGCATTGGGGAGGAGGTGGAGGAGAGGAAGAGGAGGAGGGGTGGCGATAGGAGAGAGGAACAGACATGGCTTCTAAAGAGATCACTGCCTCTGGTTTCGTGAGTGTGAGCAAGGATATCACAGGTGGGTAAAGACCGCCGCTTGGTTATTTTGCTCCCGGTCTTGTGTCGGTGTGCTCGCGGTCGCCCCGGGCGCGTGTGTGGTCAGGCTCCTGATGCTTTTTTCTCCGCGCGGCTGTCGGAGGCTGCGACCGTACAGACGCATTGGATGCTTGTCATGAGCTACACCTTTGCAATCAGTCCCGAACCTTGCCGGGGCGGCTTTTTTCTTTCTTCTTCTTTCCCCGCGCATGTGAATTAGTTAATCTTCAAATTAATTATTTACAGTGCAGGGAAATTAGCTTTAAGCCTGCCCTCTCTGGGTGGATCAGGTAATAAAAAAACCCCAGCCCTAGGCCAAAGAGGGAAAGGGGCGTTGTGGAAAATAATGGTGTGTACTCGTGGGGTCTGGTACCGTCTTGTTCCCTGCACGTTTCTTTTTCTTTTAAAAAAAAAAAACCAAGACACCCATTTCACAGTGAGATTTCCCCCTCTCTAACCCTCAACTCTTGAGTATTTCATCTTTGTTTTTCTGCAGCCTAACCAGCCAGAGCGCTGCTGCTGATTGCACGCGTGCGTGCGTGTGTACGCGTGCGTGGGAAAGTGAAGCGAGGGGCACTGATACAGGCAGATGTTCACCGTATCTTGCCAACAAAAATGCATGAGCTATACAAACTCAACAGCGCGACAGAATGCACAAATATTTACTCCCCTTTTCTCAAACAGCAACAGCTTACATATGTCAAAGTCACAGCAATGCCTCGATTTCAATATCATACACGCGCGCAAAAGCACTGACACATGCACCAGCAGCACACATGCTCAGGGTAGCAGGGACTCTGCTGCTGTGTTAATTACTCCTAATGGCTCTATTAGGCTCACTGTGATGATTAATCCAGTGGAATCCCTGCCTCTTCATTCAGCCACCTGCCGGGCGGCTGCACCACCTCATCCCGCCTTTCCTGCACTGATTGACAGGTGGAGAACCTGGTGGTCTGCCTGCATGCACTAGGTCACTGGAAAGAGCCTTCCTAACAGCTGGATTGACTTAAATTATCAGGTCTCAATTCTTGGTTCGCATAGCTCTTATTAATATGGTGCAAAATGTACTAAAAGTGTCAAAAACGAGTCCTCTTGTTCCAGGAAGGATCCTATAAGTGTCATCATGTTATCTGATTATTAATTGTCCATGCAAAAAGGTATGAGCGTCATTTACGTGTTGTGTCTGGTTAGGGTGATGATACTTAAATGATTTATTTAGGAAAATGTAGCTTCATCACAGGTCATTCATATAAGAGTTGAGATGCAGTAAAGTTAAAAGTGCTGTATTTTTGCTGAAATTTGATAGATTAGAAGTGTAATGGGACATTAAATCCAAATATTCGAGTAAAGTATGTACATAATCTGACCAAATGTACATAACTGCAATGGAACCTGTTCCCCTTAAGACTTATGAGCACCTAAAAATAGAAATAGGAAAGAATTGTTTGCATCACTGTCCATTGTGACTGTATCAACTCCACTGCCCAATCCCAACAACCCAGCCTCTGTATCGATTTCCTCATAAACTTGTCAGTTGGAAGCTCTGGAGCTAGAATAATTGAGATGCTGAATCATGTAATTTCTGCTAGCGACTGTATGTGTCTGCGATAGTGTGTCAGTGCTATGTGTTCCCAAACTGTGAGTAAGATGCTTCTTTTGGCGCATCACGGACATTATGTGCTGTATATACAAGTCAGGGGTCACAACACCGACAGTGACACTGTTTGACAGGAACAGTTCTCAGTGAATCATAGACACTGATGCTCAAATGTGTTATATTGCTCCTGTGAGTAAGAAAATAACACTGAAGCATATTGTGACTACCTCAAAGGAAATACCTCGGAGGCAAAACATTGTTATGTATCACAGTCATTCAGTAATTAATCCACGAAATCGTGTAACTTCCCACTGAGTGCCTTTGTGCTTTGGAGCACAACCTAAAACCCTGTCAATCGTTCTGCTTCAGTGTTACGTGCAGATTATATGATTTTGCATATAAGAGGTTTGTTTCTCACGTATAATCATGATCCTGTCATCGCGGTTATTTTTATCATCTAAAATGCCACGACAGGTCAGCGTACATTGCAAGTCTGACACATCCCTCAGCTAATGTTGAGCTGGGATATTTGTACAGTAATCTGAAGTTAAAGGATCCTTCCTTATTGTTTGCATGTTGTTTTTTTGTGTTCCATTTAATTTTGAATTTCTGCCACACTACTCCTTATTACTTTTGGTTTCTGAATGTGATTTTTTACTGTATCCCTTTAGGCAATGTTAACTTTGCAAAAATCAATGTTTAGAGACAAGAGGTCCTGCAAATAATCCTGCACAGTGAACATTATGTCTCATTTTATGTCCTTCAAAATGATATTATTGTTGTAGGATTTTGCTTTGCCTGTATTTTAGTATTACTGTACAATATTAACAGACAAAAAAAATAAATGTAGAGAATATTTTTGAGGTCTCTGCAAATTTGGAAGAGTGAAAAAGGATTCACAAATCTAAGACACAACAGCTTGCAAACTGTTCTTTTTATATGAAAAACTATCAAATTTGCACAAATGGTTGTTTGCTCCTTTCGGAGACTGAAACAGAGAGAGAGATTATGTTGTAACATATGTTAATGTTGTCATCCACAGAAAGCATCAGGAAGATTATCGATAAATCATCTATAAAGTTTGTTCGTGGCATTAAGCTTGACACTAAAAATGGCAAAACAGAGGACAAAATTCTGGTAAGTTGCTGCTTTCTGTTTCCTCACTGCCGACTTGGCTGGTTTAATGGGTTCTGTCTTAGCACTGGTCTGCTGATGTAGAAGAAAAAGAATGCCATAAGCCTGCTACATAAGCAGCCTGAGA